TTTTTGTTTTGTTTTTTTTGCTGGGTGCATAAGAAGAGTAAGGTCAGCTCCCCTGCATTCAGAGACTTCATAGGTAGCGAATGCAGACATATTCAGTTCACTTTTCTGCAGTGTGATGGACGCTTTGAGGGAGGCATGCCAGCCACCTGAGGCCAGAAGCCGCAGCTCTAGAAATGTTGACACCTGAGAGGAGAGGCGGGCTTTTTGATTGAAGGTGAGAACAAGAGATTTTGGAAGTGGTGGTCATTATTCAGTTGTGAGAAGATAGGTCCCAGTTAATTTGAAAACTGCAGTCATTCTAAGGAGAGTCCCTGCTACCTCTCTGACCTCATCCACCACTGTCTCCCTTCCTCTGCCCCAGCCTCCTTGTTGTTCCTCAGACACACCATGTCATAGTGCTGTCTCCAGATATCCACGTAATCCCTCGCTTCAGTGGGATTCTTAGGCCACCTGATCAGAGAGGCCCTACCCTACAAAACACTGTTGTATTTTTTTCAACCTTAGACATTCTTAAAAGTAGTTTTGGCTTTTTAGTATTCTAGATTTGTTCTAGATTATAGTGTTTGCACTTACATCTGGCTGTGTAGTTAGAAATGGGGGAGAATGTGAATGATTTCTTCTGCTTTCAGATTTAGAAGCAGATGATGGTTAAGTGGGACCCATCTAGTCACCTGGCACTTGTATTTGCTGGATGGAAGCTTTGATTTTTGACGTGTAAATACCTTTTAAAATGTAGGCTTAAACACAAGAATTTAGAGCAGTGGTTCTCTCCCCAGAGATACCTATGTAGTTGATTTGGGGTGCTACCCCAATAATGGTTTTGTTGATTTTTTAAATTTTGTTTTATTTTGAAACAATCTTGAACTTACAGAAAAGTTGCAAGTGTGATGAAAACAGCAACAACACTTTTCCAAATCACTTAAGAATAAATTGCTGTCGGGGCGCCTGGGTGGCTCAGTCATTAAGCGTCTGCCTTCGGCTCAGATCATGATCCCAGGGTCCTGGGATCGAGCCCCGCATCGGGCTCCCTGCTCCGCCTGCTCCACGGGAAGCCTGCTTCTCCCTCTCCCACTCCCCCTGCTTGTGTTCCCTCTCTGGCTGTGTCTCTCTGTCAAATAAATAAGTAAAATCTTAAAAAAAAAAAAAAAAAAGAATAAATTGCTGTCCCAGTGTTCCATCACCTGCATCCCTTTCCCCTATACTTTAGTGTATTTCTAAAAATCAAGAACATTCTCCTATATAACCACAATACAACTGTCAAAATTAAAAAAACAAAAACCCACTGATACATTGCTACCATTTAATCTTCAGCCCCTACACAGGGTTTGACACTTAGCCCAGTAATGGCCTTTACAGCAAAAGAATCACACTTAGCATTTGGTTATTTTCTCTTGTTAATCTCGTTCTCTTACCTTGAGGTTCGGTGATCCTGAAACTTTTGAAGATTGCAGACCCATTATTTGGTAAAATGCCTCTCAATTTGAGGTTCTCTGACATTTCCTCATGATAATATTCATATTTGAGAGGAATATCATAGAAGAGATTCTGTGTTCTCAGAGCATCTAATCAAGCAACTCACAATTTCAATTTATCCCATTATGATGATGTTCATGTGTTTTACTTGATTAAGGTGGTGTCTGCCAGGCTTCTCCTCTGTGTACTTATTCTTTTGTGTGTATATGTGTACTTATTCTTTTCTCCTTTAAAATTAATAAGCATTTTTATGGGGAGGTACCTTAAAACTATGTGAATATTCCATTTCTTTCACTTCTAATTACTCTTTTACTTATTTCTCTCTGTATGGAATCATGTTTTCCTATTTTATACGATGGCTTATGATTTCTTACCATTATTTTTATGTGCATACTGTCCCAGATTTAACTTGTAGGAACCCCTTCAAATTGGTCTCTGCAACCATTTGACACGCCCCATCATTCATTGAACATTTCCTTGCTTCTTGGCAATAAGCATTCCACACTCACTTTGTACTTCTTTTGCCCTAGCCCCAAATTAGCTCTTTTATTTTTTTATTTTTATTTTTTTTAAAGATTTTATTTATTTATTTGACAGAGAGAGACACAGCGAGAGAGGGAACACAAGCAGGGGGAGTGGGAGAAGGAGAAGCAGGCCTCCCGCTGAGCAGGGAGCCCGATGCAGGGCTCAATCCCAGGACCCCGGGATTATGACCTGAGCCAAAGGCAGACGCTCAACCACTGAGCCACCCACATGCCCCCCCAAATTAGCTCTTTTAAAAAAGAACTCTAGTTCTTTTTAAGAATGGTATTTAGAAGCCACAGTCTGGGTACTACGTGTGTTCGTTGCTATCTGGGTGTTGCTTGTTCCCAAGCCCTTTCAGTAATAGAGCTAGGTGAGTGAGTGAGTGTGTGAGTGTGTGTGTGTTTGCATACATGAAGGAATATACACACATGTGGGCTCACAAAAATCACAGCTGTGTTTATTGTTACGCCTGTCTCTATATGTTGATGATGCCATGAGTTGATGCCAAGAACTAATTCTGATCCAACTCCACAGGACTCTTTTGAGCTTTTTCCCTTTCCATTTTGGTAACTACCTTTTCAACAGTCAGAAACCTGATTGTCATCATCATTAATATATCTATTGATTGATCAGTCCCCCTGTATGTAACCTTCCCTTCATGGATGCCCTCTTTGCCCTCTTGGGTTCTGGCTCAGCATGGGGATATTTTAAAGCTCCCCAATGATGCTAATGTGCAGCCAGGATAGAGCACAACTGAATGAGGAGAAAGGTGAACTTTGTACTTTTTGATTCATTATTAAGTAAATGGCAGGTTTTTAAGTCAGGTTTGTTTTGGGAAAATAAATTCTTCCTAAGGAAGTGAAATCCAAAGAGAAAACTCAATTCTACCAATATAAGCAGTAAAAGATCAGGGTGAAAGCACAGCCTGTCTCCTGGAAAGCTTTGAAAAATATTTATTTTGGAAATAAATCTGCTTGTAATGAACATGAATTTCAGTCCCTTTCCCTGAATTACCTGTTTATAGGAAAAAATACTTGAAAAGATTAGTTGTTTTTAAGAATGTGTTTCATTAAAGACTTACTTTGCTTTTTTTTTACATTGCGTTTTTAAAATAAACTTAAGCTATAGAAAGAAATTGCAACTCACTGCTCTTTAAAGCATTGAATATTTAAACAGATTTTCAGACTATGTTGCTCCTTCTCAGTAGTCCATTGCACTTTAAAATACCGGAACCGAGTTACAGTAACTGGGTCATGAGGAATCCCAGAGGAAGCAAGAGGCTCTGGGAGCCTAATACGACAGGATCTCTGGCCAGCCTGCCTTAGATGGTCAACATCCATCTTGCCAATTTTCCTAAAACCATGTTCTTAAAGTAGTGCATTGCTTCAGGTGGATTTTCACCAAGAGCTTCACACTGAGACTGAGGGACACATAATCTGACTCCAAATTGAATTCCAGCGTTCAACCTAAGGGAATTACAGTAAAATCTCTTCCTTGATGGTATTTGTAAAGTTTTCATTGAAGTTACCTTTGGGGTGTGAATTGTGCACATTAGGCTTTTGTGTATTTATGCCAGAGGCACAGAAGGAGAAAGGCCAATATTTGTGAATATGGATAGAACCACAGAAAGCTTGACATGTAGGTAAAACACCTATTTTTTGTTGTTGTTTCGTTCTCGTTTTCTAGAAATAAAGCATTGCCTAGTCATGAATGCCGGCTTCAGTGTTGACCCTCAGTTCTTTATACAGGTTGAATTGTTACCACTCCCCAGACTTGAGTCTTCAGGAACTATCTTTGTGACTTTTGCCACGTCAGCGAACATTTACTTCATGTTTTTCTTTAATGTGTCTGACTTTTAACTTAGCATTTTTCTAGATGGTATCTGTGAAGCCATGAGTTTAGTGTGTTGATCACCGAAAATCAGAAGTATCTGTTCAATACTTTGGGGGAACTGGGCACTAGATCTCTAAATCTCCTTCTAGCTCTACAATTCAGAAAGTGTGGCATCTGGGTTTCCTGCCTTGAGCTTTAAAGCAACAGCAGTAGTTTTGCAGTGGGTTCTTCCCATGTGATACATAGAGAGTGAAAGTTGGCAGCTTTCTATATATATTATATTCGAATATATAGTAGAATATGTTACATAATATATGAGAATAAATATCACATTCTTTTTAGATGTGAGGCATTAATTACATTATCTTAATTTCTTAAGATTCAGCACATTTCTTCAACTAGAATGGTTAGTATTTTGTGTCATTTTTGCTCTCATTGAGGAGAGCAAAACCTGGTTGTCTTAATTCAGGTGTCCAGGAAGATGCAACTGTGAACTCATTCAGTAAGGAATACATAGATTTATAGGACGCTTGGTACCTGCCTTAAAAACACAAGTAGAAAACATGTAAAACATACAGTATTAATAATGTAGAAGAAAATATGAAATATAGAACATATATGTTAACCACACTGAGATGTCATGGAAAGATACCTAAATTGTGATAAGTATCTGCGTGTCATGATTAAATTAATGTGTTCTGTATTATTTGTGAGGGATATTGCCTATCAAAATATTTTTCTTTGACATTATTAATGCTGTATGTTTTATGTGTTTTCTACTTGTGTTTTTAAGGCTAGGTACTGAGTGTTCTATAAATCCATGGATTCCAGGAATATCCCCAGAAGCCAGCCAGATGTTGTCATATATTCAAATCAGGGTTTTTCCTGAGTGTGTGTATGTTTTTTCTTTTAGGAAGATATTTTAAAGCTCACTTTAATGGGCTTCTTTGAAACCAAACGGTCATATTTTGTAAAAGGAGTAACAAACCAAAATATGGGGATAACTGAATGTGGTGAGTTTTATGCATCCTCTCAGTTTAAGTAAAATACCAGGTTCTGCTCAGTCCCAGAGATGGAATGTTTGCACACCATCTACAAGCATTTCATTTGCTACACAAATAGACTGTGAATACAGATGTTAACCTTCTGGTGTGATGTTACTTTAACAGAGAGAAGGAGCAAGAAAGGGAAGAACAGTTAATGGAAGACAAGAAAAGGAAGAAGGAGGATAAAAAGAAAAAAGAAGCCACTCAGAAGGTGGGTTGAGTCCCTTAAGTCTGTCTTGACATCCACCAAGCATCTGGAAGAAGTAACTGCCATGGGCTAGGTACCTGACAGCTCAGCAGTGCTGCTTTAAGGTCTGAAAGTGGGAGAAAGTTGGAGACCTACACTTGTCTTCATAAAGTAGATATTCAGGAATGCTGCAACTGACTTATTGAGAACAGCAGTAAACAATATTGAGAAAGGCAAGAGAGTCCCCAACACTTAAATTCTTACTGACTTTTCTTATTTGTATCATAATTAATCTCCATTTTCTTAGGTCAGCTTATAAAATAACTTTTCAAGGCTTCTGTTAAGTTCACCCCAGTGTTTTCCTTTTGGTCCTTCTACAGCACTGTCATTTGTAAGAATCTGCTTAGAGCTTTGGGGGAGATAATAGTCCATGGCTTTGAGTCACTTGCTTAGGGAAGAAGAGATGCTAAAAGAAAAAAGACACAGGCCTCACCTCTGTCAACGGGCAAGTCTTAATTGATGTGCTTGACCTCAGCACTGACTGAGCAGAGATCAGAGGCCCCGCCCCCTCTCCTCCAGTGTGTGCTCCCCTGCCCCCTCTCTGGTCTGATCTTGTTTACCCCACTTTGCCATTCTTCAGCATTGCCTGACTTGGGCTCTAGCTCAGCAGGGGTGTTTTGGTGCCTTTTTGGGAGGTAAAGTGATTTGCCTCCAGTTCTTGTTACCACTGCCTAGCACACTTGGGAAGCGGGCCCTCGCTGTGAGGCAGGCTTGAGGGTCCCTGCTATAGTGCCAGGTTATTGAAGCTAAGTTTAGGAAGGTAGAAACTGTTACAGGGTTCAGAGGGAACTCTAGATTTAGAACAGACTCAAGGCAGGCAATCAGACACAAGCCAGTGCAGGGTATAACGGGACACCACAAGTTTTCCCAGCATTATTGGATATAACGTATATTCCCTTAAGTCAGTTTTCTGAATTTTTGAAATAGATCATTTATGAGTGCCAGGAGAAAAAATGATACTGGAAATATTTTCTGAATTGGATTGCATATGACCCTGCCATATTAAACATACAAAATATAATTTTATCTTTTCTTCATGACTTAATTAGAAGGAATATTTGTTATTGTTTGGTTCTATAATATAATAGACTGTTGTACATGCTCATTAAGGTTTTGTCTGCTTTTAATTGTGTTAGTTCCTGTTAATAGTGGTATGCTTACCATCGCATCCTCGTGCTATCAGGGTACCTGCTTCTAATATGTTGCTTCTAATCTGAGCCTAAAATGTCCGTAAAGAGTCTGAATAAAGATGTCAGATAACAACCCAGAGGCTTTTTTCATACTTGCCTTTGGAGACACAGTCCCATTCCACATATTGAGGTTGTGATAAGCAGGTCCACCAGCCGGAGGGTGTCAGGGCATTGCCCCTCCACATACTGACCTTCCAACTGGAGTGACGGAGAATGAACCGCAGTGTAGCCTTTTTTTCCTTTAGGGCATTCACATTTCATCAACTATATTGGTATAAAAATTGGATTTTGCAGTCTGTGGGAACGTATGGTTAATAGGCAGGACACTGGTGAACTTGAGCAAAGGCTGGTAAGAAGAAGATAGTAAGTCGAGTGATTATTTTAGGCAGTCTATGGTCTGTCTTCATTCTTCACATAAGTAATAATGCTTCTCAACTGGAAAATAATCAGTATCTGGAAGTGATTGATAAAATATGCATCTGTAAACTTTCATTGTGGATCCCACTAATAGAAAAATGATTTAAAATACAAGATGGTGTGGGTTTATTCAAGAGCAGATTTGAGATTTATGCAGAGAATGTCGTTTACACAGCTGGACAATCTCCCCTGTGTATTAGCATCTGCATTAAGAACTGGTTTAGAAGTTACGGCAAAGAAGAAAATCACCATAAATGAAATTTCAAATGGTTACTTATGAACAATAAAATCCAGTCATTTTTGTTCAGAAATGTTCTAGATTGGCTGACGCAGGATCCAGGCCAACACATGGTCTTGGATATTGTTGTATCATACCGAACTGTTGTGTAATTCCAGAATTAAGTTCTGATTTAGCAGTTTTAAGGAAGAGCACAAAGCTTACCATGTGATTGTCTTAGTGGCTTCCAACCTTATTGTAGAGACAGTGCCTCAACGAGGAGGCATAAAATGTGCTATGATGCAAAGAATTGTAGAGAATGTGCCAGAGGTTCTATTATGTGGTCATTCATTCATTCAGTCAGTCAGCACCATTTACGGTGCTTCCACATCCTTCTCGCTGCTTACCCTATTGCTTTAAAATCATCTCTTTGTGTATGTCTTCCCATTAGACTGACTGTAAATTTCTCAAGGTTTTACTCATATTTGTATTTCTGGGAAATTAGGGCAGTCTCTGGTACATAAGAGTCACTCAGAAACTGTTAAATAGATCAATGGTTAAGAATGAGTGCTGGCAATGTAATTTTCTTGAGGAATGGACTTTTATTTAAAGCTAAATCAAGTTATTTCCACACAGACATTAAACTTGAGCTTTTCTCATGAGCAGTTTGCTCTTTCTAGAGCCATCACTGAGTAAACTGTGTTAGATTTCCATTCATGAGAAAGGTGTCAAGGAAGGATTCCATTCACATTCATTAAGCTGATGCTGCTAAAGGAGCATTGTTCAGTGTTGGCAGAATACATGCTTTGATCATCCAGCTTTTCACCGTCTGGAGGACAGCTCTTTTAACAGAACCCACATTGTAAGACACATTTGACATTATTTGAGTTTGTTGCTTACAGCTGGAGAAGGCATTGATTGACTTCCTATATAACTGATCTTCAAAATGGCATTGTAAGAAATATTTATAATGTTATAAAATTTAAATTGCCTTAAGGAATTGGTGTGTGGATACAAATCAGTTCATTCTTGGTTAAATGGAGTTTTACAAAAATCACACGGTAGACTTGAGCTCTGTAACAGTACAGGGAAACACATTCATTTTGAAGCGCTGTCTACTACAAATTCAATAGAGTAGAATTAGCTTGCCTTTTAATGCAAGAATGTAAGGAACACTCCAGGAGGTCATACAACTAGGGCATTTAATTCAGATTGTGTCGGGCATTAGTGTGCTGGAATCCACCGCAAAGCGGGTTGGTTACCTACGGGACATACACTCCAAAGATGACGAGCATGTTTTCATGAGCACCCGTAGCGGTAGCTTGGTATGATTATCAGCCACAAATAACCAAACATCTTCTTTTCTATTACAAAGTCAGAGAACCATTAAAAATGCTTTAGGGGCGCCTGGGTGGCTCAGTCAGTTAAGCGTCTGCCTTCAGCTCAGGTCATGATCCCAGGGTCCTGGAATCGAGCCCCGCATCGGCGGGAAGCCTGCTTCTTCCTCTCCCACTCCCCCTGTTTGTGTTCCTTCTCTCCCTGTGTCTCTCTCTGTCAAATAAATAATTAAATCTTTAAAAAAAAATGCTTTAAAAGATTAACATTTGGGAAAAGGGAGTCAAAAATCATGCATGATCTCAATAATAATGAAAATAATATAAGCCTATTAGAATTCTGTAATTCTAGAATTTCCTTTTGGATGTTTTTCTTATGCATGGCCTTTTGTGGTTTTTTAATATTATAGGGCATGTATAATTAGGTGCCCTCCTTTATTTTCCTCTCTTAATAGCAGAAGCAGTTTTCCATGTGGCTCCTAATCATCATTTCCAAACTCTCTAAAAACCCATTATTACATTCAGCCTGTCCAACCTTTTAGGTTAATCACTTCCATAGATGTATTAGCCACTATGTAAAGAAATACTTTCAACAAAGCAATCTTTATTTGTTCAAAATTTACACGTTTCACTCATTGCTGTATTTCATACTGTTTTATGTGAACTTTGATTAAAAACAACAAACATTTATTGAGCATTGGCATAGGATAATCTGATTTAATCCTTATAACAACCCTTTGTACCGAGATGCTATTATTACTAATCTCCATTCAACAGATAAATAGAAAACTGCAATCACACAGCCAGGAAGTGGCATGACTTGGTTTTAAATCCTGCCTTTCTGCTATGGCCTGATACCTCTGATGATGGGCCCCTGAACTTTTGCTTTCTAGATTTGAAATTGAGTGTTTGAGTCCACACTCATAGCGTGATCTTTTTGTCTCTATGGCTAATTTAGTTTCTAGGCTCCATCCATTTGTTTTTCTCCAGTCATAGCATCAAAATGACAAACAGCATATTCCTGGTATAGGTACTTCATCATTTAATAAGAGTGGAATGCTTTTTGTTTTAATTTTTAGTATCCATAATAGTGGTCATGTAAGTTATAACCGGACATATGGCCATTGTCTTTATAGAAGGATGTCTGAGCTCTCAAGCTTTTTTTCTGGATCTGAACTACATCTGCGTGTCTGATAGCTTGAATTACTTAAGTCCTTAGAATTACAGTAGTCTTACAGTACCGAACTGGAAAGCAGAACTCATTGCCTTATGTCTGTTAATTTATTTTTCAGGTCACGGAACAAAAAACCAAAGGTAAGAGTTTTTTTTTTCTTTTTTCAGTCTTTGGAACCTTTTGTGTTTAGATTTTATACCCTTGCTGACTCAGCCTCCAATCCACTTGATTTGCGAGAGTGGGTGCAAAGTAATTAAATTGGTTGTTTGCAGCCACTGAAGAACAGTAATGACAAATTAAAAGTACTTGTAGTAGTGTTTCTAGTTGGCCTTAAATTTTTTAGAAGGCAAAAGAGATTAGAAAAAGTAATACCTTGTTTTGAAAGTATATGGGTCATGATTTTGAACTGAACCTTTAAAAAACAGTAACAAAAACTTTAGCCCCTAATTTATAGATGGGAACTGCAGAGGATTGTTAACCGTCTTGATCCACGACATGCATTGTGTCTGAAAGGGAGTGTTATGTCTAGGATGGTCACGTGGTCCTCTGAGCTAGAGCCTGGAATGTGCTTTTTCAAAAAATAATACATTTTAACTCTGTTACAAAATAGTGATGTGTTGTAAACAGAAGCATATGTCCTTCAGGTCATCCCCAACCTAATGGTCTATATGCTTTCAGATCTCTCTCTCTCTCTCTCTCTCTCCTGTTAATTTTGATTATGCAGTCTTGTGCATAATCTGGTGCAATTTTTGATTATGCAGTCTGGTGATGGCCACACTTTTGGTCAGTTCCCCTTCAGAATGGTAGACTTCATTCCTTGAGACGAGTGTTCTAGCCCCTATCCTTGCCCATTTAAATACGTGGTTCTCAACTAGGGCATGCATTAAAATCATTGCATAGACTTTTCAAAATACATAAACATGGACCTCCTCCCAAACCTTCATGGTCTCAGGCCACAGCCCTAGCAGATATATTTTGAGAAGCTCTGTAGGTGACACCAGGTGTCACTGCCCCAATGAAAGGAATCACATTAGGACTGTGATAACTTGGAGGAAGGTCTAGGTGGATGAATGGATAGGCCAAGATGTGATGGGAGGCCCTCTAACGATGATTGGTTTCTTCTTCGTTTTGTTTTCTTTTGTTGGACTACCAGGCCAAAGCATGTCATACAGTGATGGAAAACTAATAAAGACAGTGCTAGTTTTTAAGGAAACTTAGTTCCGGAAAACAGATTCTCAGATGACTAGACATTACTGCAATATATTTCTAATCAAAATGCATTTCAAGGGAGAATGTAGTCTGGGACCTTGTAGTGATTTATAAAATAAACTGATAAGAGCCATTATTAGTTACAGTTCTCTTAATTAGTTAGAATAGTGTTCTCCCCTTGTACTTTGAGCCAGTACCAACCCAAAAGTGGGCTTTATTTGGAAGTATCTTTATAAATCACATGTTTGAAAGAGAAGTTATACTTTACCATAAAAATAGAGTTATTGATAGTAGTACAGTGTCCATATTTTCTAAACCAACATACTATCTAGGAAAGGATTTGGGCACATAGTATTTATGTTTATAGGACTTTCTGATGATTTATCAGGACAACAGATGAGAATATTGGCATTTTCCTGGAAAATCCAGGCTCTCTGGTTGTTGAAACAGGGTGGTTAGGTTCCTGGGCCTGGCCACAACTCTAATGCTCATGAAGCCAAGTACCAACTGAGCTGTGAAAACAAGCTGCTCTGTATGGTAAGTGGTGTTTCTATTGGAAAATCAAAAATCCATTAAGGCATTCTTTGTTGGATTTTTTTGTGTGTGTGCTAGGTCTGTTCTCAGAAACACATTCCTTTTCCCTCTGCCAAAATCTTAAAAATCAAATTTTCTTTTCTACTCTCTACTGAATTTTCTTTCCAATTAGGGTTTTTCTCTCACCTACCATAAAATGGAATACAGCCCCAGAGTTTCCAAACTTTTCCTACCCCACCCCCGTCAAAAATTAAAGTAAAATAATCCTAAAGTGAGCTGAAAGCCTGTTTCAGGTCTCCTAAGGAATTTACTTAGTAGAACCAGGGAGAAAATAGAAGTAAAAATAAGAATTATCTCTGGAGTAGGTTAGACCATAAGTAGAGGGAGAGGAAAAATGAGAATTCTGGAGAGAATACAGCAGGATTTCAAGTGGAGGTTATATGAAGACAGGGCCTAGCACTGGGCCTGATCTTTCTGGGTTTTTGCCCCACTTTACGGCCACATTTTTATCTTTGTTCCCAAGAGCCTGTCTGGGCACTCTAAATCCCTTTCTTCTTTTCCCTCAGCTGATGTTTCTGGGTCCTGTTCCTCTTCCAAAGATGGTGCCTTCCTTAGGCGGTCTCCCCATAACTCTGAATCTGCCTCTTTTTTCCCAATAGACCCTATAAGAAAAAAGTCTGTTGGTGCCAAGTCTCTGGTTGTACAGAGGACTGAAGTAAGATTTATCTGTATTTCAGAAAAAAAACAGATTCATTTATATGTTCTGTCTTTATCTTCCATTATTTAAAAAAAAAAAAGAATTCCGGAGACTAGGGTAAGATTTCAGGTGGAGGTTCTGTGAAGACATGGCCTAGAGGTGGGCCTGCTGCCCAGTAGCAGACAATATGCAGCACTTAAGGTAGAAGCCGATGTCGCACTTTGTTGGATATTGGACTTAGAATCAAGAGTCTGTGGGATTGATGTAATAGGCCAGATACAGCAGGACGAAGGGCAAGGTCAGGACTAAAAAGGGGCGCCTGGGTGGCTAGTCGGTTAAGCGTCCTGACCCTTCCCTCCTCCCCAACCTTGTGTTTTTTAAGAGCCTGGGATTATCTTCATTTCACGTCCTATCTGCTTTTATAAAAATTTGTTTGGTTGTTTGTTTTGTTTTTGTTCTGCAATATCCTGTGGAAAGAGATCTCTAAATTCTCTCCATTATTTTGACAGTGTTTTATTTTTTAAGTAATAAGTATTATCCTTAGAATATTAACTGTCGCCTATCGTGTAAAAATCAAAAAGAGAAAATAGATTTCATTCTTTTAAAAAATGTAGTGGAGTAATGACATGTCTCAATTTGTTTTATTCATTTAAGATGACAAATGTTGCCTATCACAAATAAGTCTATAGAAGACTAAGGAAGAATTATCTGATGAGAACTCTGGTGGTTATTTTGAGAAGGAGAAAAGTTCCAGATAAAAAGAGGAGTATTTGCTTAGAGAGTTTTAAAAGATAAGAAATTTTGAACCCTAGGGGTGCCTGGGTGGCTTGGTCAGATAAGTGCCTGCCTTCAGCTCAGGTCATGATCCCAAGGTCCTGGGATTGAGCCCCAGGTCAGGCTCCCTGCTCATCGGGGAGTCCACCTCTCTCTCCCCATCTGCTTCTCCCCCAGCTTATGCTCTCTCCCTCACTCGCTCTCTCTCAAATAAATAAATAAAATCTTAAAAAAAAAAAAAATTCTGAACCCTATGGCAAAATATCTGGAAAAGCTGACAAAGTTTTTCTTTTTTCTTTTGCTTGTAATTAATTTTCTTCTTTTTAAATTTACCTATATTGAGATGTAATTGACATATGAGTGAGTGTCAATTGTGTACGTTTAAGGTGTACAGTGTTTTCATTTGATACATTTATATATTGCAATATGATTACCACAATAACATTAGCTACCACATCATATCACATTACCTAACTGTCATTTCTTTTTTATGGTGGAAACAATTAAAATCTAGTTTCTTGGTAATATAAAAAAAAAAAAGCATCCAACTCTTGATCTCAGCTTAGATCTGGATCTCAGGGTCATGACTTCAAGCCCTGCATTGGGCTCCACACTGGGCCTATAGCCTACTTTAAAAAAAAAAAGATCAGGACTAAAAAGACTGTGCAATGGAGGAGTTTGGACATAGTAATTTTGCCTTGTTAAAAAGATGTTAGGGTCATGGTTGGCTTAATGATGTAGTTATTAGTATGAAATGACTGATTTATGGAAACTAACATGACCTGGGGCGTCTGGGTGGCTCAGTCGGTTAAGCCTCGGTCTCTTGGTTTGACCCAGGTCATGATCTTAGGGTCGTGAGATCCAGTCCCATGTCGGGCTCCGTGTTCAGCGCAGAGTCTTCTTGAGATTCTCCCTCTTCCTCTGCCCCTGCCCTGACTTGTGCATGCACTCTCTCTCTCAAATAAAATCTTGGGGGAAAAAATGACTGACATGACCTTAAGTGCCATTTGTAGAAATACAGTATCTAGGAAGGCATTTACAATTCCTATAATAGGCACCACACTGGGTAAAGAGACAGAAATCAACTTCTGTGGAGCCTGTGGGGTTTGGGCCAGACTGGTCAATGAATTTGAGCCTGTGTCGCTTTCAGAGGTGTTAAACACATGAAGATGCTTAACCCTCAGTGGAAGGCTTACCACCTGAGGAAGCTCAGGTTACGGTCTTCAAAGAGTTGAAGGGTTCTGGTGTCTGACACTTAGCAGTCTCTTGGTAAATGTCTGTCAGGTGTTTTGTTCAGTGAGACTTATTCTCATAGCAAAAGTACTGATGGTGAGAAGCAAAGCAACAGGGAAAAGCTTCCAGCTCAAAATAAGTTGAAATTTCAGATACCGTCATCCACAGCAGCAGTTCATGACCTTTACCCCACCTAGGACACAGCTGAGGGACAGCACCTTCCCATCAGCATACCTGGGGTGATAGACCATTGTGGTCCATTGGCCACAACTCTGTCTTCTGAGTCTACCCCAGAAGGCATATTTAGTAAATGCATGTTGGTGGTTGGGATGACCTTGAGTCTACTCTAATTTATTAAGATTTGAGGTGGGTTCCCCCCCCAAGTAAGTAATTTACAAACTAAGCTACTTACAGTGTATGTCACGCCTTGTGGAAACACCTGTGTATGCGAACACTGGTGGGAGCCCATTTGTTCAGAGATGGAACTGGCTACCTCTAGAGAGTGAATGAATGTGAGGTATAATGACATATGGTTCAGATAGATGGGCATAGAAAAGTCCAGGTGGGAGGTAATGAGGACTTGAACCTGGTTAGAAACGGTGGTGGTGGAGGAAGGCAGGCATCGGAGAGATGCTTTGGTTCATTGGGATATAATGATGATCAGATAATGATATGCAGGGAAAGAGCAAAGTCTGAGACACTTTCCAGGTTCCCTGCTTGAGAAGATGGTTGGGTGACGACTCTATTCCTTGATCTAAGAGATAATGGGGAGCTGGGGAACAAGTTGGAGGGGTAAAGAGAAGGGTGAAAGAGGTCTGAGTTGGAGGTAGTGATTTGGGAAACACTTGCATATAAATGTTAAAGTCTGAACATGGGGGAACTTGTACTCAAGTAACTTAAATGTGGGAAGAGTGTAGGCCCCACGTTCATGTTCAGGTTTTTTTTTTTTTAAAGGCACAACTCATGTGCGCCTGGGTGGCTTAGTCAATTAAGCATCTGCCTTCAGCTCGTGTCATGATCCTAAGGCCCTGGGATTGAGTCCGCATCAGGCTCCCTGCCCAGTGGGGAATCTGCTTCTCCCTCTCCCTCTGCCACTCCCCCTGCTCGTCCTCAATCTCAGATAAATAAATAAATAAAATCTTTAATAAAAAAAGACACAACTCATGACCAAATTCAACCGCCATCTTACAACTCTGCTTAGGGGGTCACCAGCTATAACCCTCCGGGCAAATCTGACTCCCCTCCTGGTTTTGTACTGCCCATGAGCTGGGAATGTCTGTTTACATTTTTTTCAATGGTTAGAAAAAATAAAAAGGAAAATATTTTCTGACAGTGAAAATGATATGAAATTTATATTTTAGTGCAGTAAGTTGTATGGAACACAGCCACACTCATTCGTTTATACATTGTCTGTGGCTGCTTTTGCCTACACGTGAACAGTGGAGTCGTCACGACAAAGACTGTAGGGCCAGCAAAGCCTAAAATATTTACTGTCTGGCCCATTACAGAAAAGTTTGGTGACCCCTGACCAAGAGTATGAGAACCCACAGAGGAAGAGAGAAAGGAAGAGCTGAAGAGCTGGCTGGTGTGGGTCTCAGCAGCTCTCACGGAAACAGGGAGGAAATGGCCAGTAGTGTCAGAAGTTGCAGAAAAGTCAAAGAAGGAAAGATATGACGAGTGTCCGTTAGACTGGCAATGAAGAGTTTCTGGATAAGAAGACGGGTTTCCAGGGAGATGTTCAGGGCAGAAGCCAGGGTGCATTGAGTTTGAGAAGTGAGTAGAGGGTAAAGAAATGGAGACAGAGCTTAGAGGGTACTGAGAGTTCTTCAGTGCCTGGTGGCCACTGTCTGTGTGTTCCCAGTCTTTGAGAGTTTTTGGTATTGCATTGTAACTGATGATGACTCACCAAGAGATTTTCAGCCGAAAATAGTGTCTTTTTATGTATTTTAACTACTTTTAAAACATTTCTAGAAGTTTTTTTTGTTTTGTTTTGTTTTTATGTTCGTCCAATCAAGATACTTAAAGAAAATAGTAGTTTGTATTGGTCCTGCCTGTTTCAGGGTTTTCTTAAAAAATACTTTCATCTGAGGGGCGCCTGGGTGGCTCAATCCATTAAGCATCTGCCTTTGGCTCAGCTCATGATCTCATGGTCCTGGGATCTAGCCCAGAGTCAGGCTCCCTGCTCAGCAGGGAGCCTGCTTCTCCCTCTGCCGCCCCCCCCCCCCCCGCTCGTGCATGCTCTCTCTCTCTCTCACAAATAAATAAATTATTTCTAAAAAAAATACTTATATCTGCAAAAGTAGCATTTTATTGAAGTTTTTCAGAAATAGAGGCAATTTAGAAGTTCAAACTATAAGATGAGAATAATGGTGATAGGGAAAGGAAAAAGATTCAGTCATTAGTTTCTGGAAGTCAATGAAAGGAAATTAGAAAATAGGATACCCAGCATTTTTCACAATGTCTGTATTTTCCTTTGATACAGAGGTCATGTTTAAGCCACAGACCTTTTGTATGGAAAATAAGGAAGTATGCCCTCATTTTGAGCAGCTCATTTTTAGGAAGATTTGCCCTACAAATCATTAAGGTGTGGAAGAGAAATGAGAGGGTAAAAGTAATTCCTACTCTATCTTAATTCCCGTCTCCTCCGTTAGCACCTGACGTTCTGGAGCATGCTGGGAGGCACACACTGACTCTGGGAGTCTCAAGTTTGAACTTCGGGAAGCAGGTTGGACTGGATGTCCTGCCTAACAGCCACGTTGCTCTCCAGTTAGTGTCTAGAGTTCCTTTTTTTTTTTTTTAAGATTTTATTTATTTATTTATTTGAGAGAGAGAGAGAGAGAGCGCACAAGCAGTGGGGAGGGGCAGAGGGAGAGGGAGAAGCAGACTCCCTGCTGAGCAGGGAGCCCAACATGGGACTCGATCCCAGGACCCTGGACTCATGACTCAAGCCAAAGGCAGACACTCAACTGACTTGAGCCACCCAGGTGCCCAGTGTCTAGAGTTGTGATTTGCCTTTGAATGCTTAAAATTCTTGAAATCACAGAAAGGTGTAAGAAAAAAATCGAGTAAGATTTCATTCAAGTTCTGAAACATAGTTTCTCCTAACATGTACCTCAGGCTTTTTTTCTGTGTCCTGGAGTTTTGAATGACGAATCTCCCAGAATAGAGCACCATATTGGAAGGAAGGTGGTTGAAAGGTGGTCTGATTTCATAATGACTTTATTATTTACGATCCCTTTTATCTCTGACGTGGTGGGAAAATGCTCTGAGGCGCTTTGGTAAGGAATCTTACACAATATAGGATACCCACCAAGTTTCTTTGGTTGTGCTGTGAATGTTGTGAAGTTAGTCGAACTGATGTTCAGACCTCAGTGCTGTAGGATGCTTGTACTATGTCTTACTCTATTTTAGGGAAATGAGTCAAGGCAGCCTCACAGAAGCATAGCTCCTTCCATCCTAAAAACCAATAGGGAAGACTCTTCCCAGCCCTTGCCAGCTTCTTGTTTATTCTCATAATAAGAGGAAAGGGGATTGGGAATGCCATCTGCTATGGGAATCTTACAGGCACAGATAAAAAATGAATCACTGAATAATTCATCTTCATTTATCAGTTATTTTTATATATCGGCTGTTATAGGTCATGCAGAACCTACTATACTGATAATATCAGACAATGACCAACTTATTTTCTCAAGAAATAGGTTTATCCTACTCAGAGGTTGTGGATCCTCTGACCTCCCTTCCTTACTGGGAGACGCAGGACTGCCTCATGATTGGCTAAGATTAGACCAGGGGTTGCCTTGAACTGACTTCAGGCTCCTACTCTTTGTTCTTGTTACTCACAATGCTCACCAATGTCCAGTGGGAGTAGATTGGGCCCCCTGATTTCTGATGATGTCTCTCTCTCCATAAAGGAGCCAGTTCAATGAGCAACATGCTGGCCTCGCATCATTTCAGCAGTCAGAGCAGTACGGCCACCAGAGCTGGCCCAAACATTCCTCCAGATGTCGGGATTTGGGCCTCGGAATCATCTGAATTATCAGGCTCAATGGTTGTTTCTGTAACATTGCCAGCCTCTGTTTGCCAGGTAGATTTTCTTAGAAAGGGTGGCAGTCTTTTGGTAGGATGAAGCAAAGGAGGTGCAGAAGTACATTCTCTGTAGGGTTGAGGGGAAAACCAAAGGGTCCTGGAGAGTGTATCTTCACGGTCATCCTGCACGTTCCAGACTTCCTATTTGCCATTTTTAAAAGTAAAACATTAAATTCTTTAAAATAAGTAGGAAAAATACCTACATTTTGAAATTTTTATTTGAAATTTTTATTTTATTTTACTTTTTTTTTTTAGAGCAGGAGAGAGAAAAAGGAGGGGCAGAGAGAGAGAGAGAAAGTAATCTTAGTCTCCATGCCCAGTGCGGAGCCCAGTGCAGGGCTTGATCTCACAACCCTGAGATCATGAGCTGAGCCGAAATCAAGAGTTGGATGCTAAACCAACTAAGCCACCCAGGCTTCCCTGAAATTTTTATTTTAAATAAAGAGTTGGAATAAATACACAAGGTACCCTTAAAATTTTTTTGACATGAGCAAAAGAATTTATAATGTTTCTAATTATTTACACAGAGTGCGAAGCAAGAGTGTTTGAGTTTAGGTAGCTGTAAAAACCAAAACCTCGTTGATTTTGTAATTCTCCAGGGCTAAGGTTTCCTGTGGGGGTCCACTCTGTGCTAGGCGCTAAGAAAAAAAGATGAAAGAAAGGTGAGTCCTTACCCTTGAGGGACTCTTGGGTGAGGAGCTTGTAAATGAGAATTTCAATATAATATGATAAATTCATAGTAAAGAAAGATGGACGGTGTGTTCCAGGAGCACAAACGAAGGTGCTTTGCCTACCTAGTCCAGGGACTTCAAGAAAAGTTTCTCCGAGGTAGGTCTTTAAGAAGGTGGATGAAGGGCAAGGGCATTCCGGTTGAGAGCCTTGAACCTTTACCAAGGGCTTTGCCTGGGGCCCATGTGTACCCTCAGACTTGCTGGGCAGCCCTTCAGGGATATAGGGGAGCTGATGGTGATTGCTTCCCCTCCCCCTTAATCAATGGAATGGAATTCTGTGGTCTGGCTGTCTTTGAGCCCTCGTCACCATCACTCCACACCTCTGCCGTACCTCCAGGAAACTGAAGATGCAGGGGAGCTTAGAAGGACCACGTCCATCCACAGTAGGATGGAAGAAGAGTTGTCTTATGGGAATTGGTCTCATGTAAGCTTTCTTAAAAACAACCTTTAGAAAAATGTATTTGATTTCAAAGGCTGTTTCCCAATCTCTCTCTTTCAGTGCCCGAAGTGACGAAACCAAGTTTAAGCCAACCAACGGCCGCCAGCCCAATTGGCAGCTCTCCATCGCCACCAGTCAATGGTGGCAACAATGCCAAAAGGGTGGCAGTGCCGAACGGACAACCGCCAAGCGCCGCCCGCTACATGCCTCGGGAGGTGCCGCCGCGATTCCGTTGCCAGCAGGACCACAAAGTGTTACTAAAACGTGGGCAGCCCCCTCCGCCGTCCTGCATGCTCCTCGGGGGTGGGGCAGGGCCTCCTCCCTCCACAGCACCTGGAGCAAACTCAAACAACGCACAAGTGACAGGAACGCTGCTGCAGGGGGACGGTGGGACTGCACCAGGTGAGGAATCTGTGTCGGGAATGGATTCCGCGCCAGCTTGAAAGAGAGCGAGCGCTTCTTCTGTATTGCCTGGTATAAACCCTTCATTAGATAGACTCTGAGGCTAATGCGGCTGCTGTTGGTCATTGCCGTTTGGGAACTTTTTTCCTTCTCAGACAAGCACATAAACTCGAGCCTCCCTAGGGCCAGCCGTCAGCACCAGTGTGTGCTCAGGCTATGATTGGAGGTGGGGCTAGTGCACAGGCTTGTTCTGAATCTTACTTGCCTGTGTTTATGTTCTCAGAACGCTGGGGGTCTAGAGACAGTCGTCTCTTAGATTACTGTGTAGAATCTTGGTTGGGGGGGGAGATATCAAATAATATCATTCTTTAGTTTTTTATAGATTTTTAAAATCATTGTTTCTTCAGAGGATTTTGAGCTTTGTTAAAAACTATAAAAACAGGGGCGCCCGGCTGGCTTAGTCAGCAGAGTGTACAACTCTTGATCTTGGTGTCTTAAGTTCGAGCCCCACATTGGGTATAGAGCCTACTTAAAAAAATAAAACAAAACAAAACTGGATGTAGATATAAGGAATCTTTAGCAGAAAGGCTCTACGAGTCTTGAGAGTTTTTAAAGATGAATACTAAATCAGCTAACAGCTAAGAACCTCCAAACATCACCTCCCCCCCTTTCTTTAAAGCTTATTAACAGATTTCCCCTTAGCTCTTAAAATGTTTTTTTGAGGCTATACTAAGGTTCAGAGCTTGAACATCATCAAGGCTTGGCAAGAACAATGCATTGGTTATTGTTAACTGAGCATGCTTTATTCTAGTTCTGAGTTTGAACATAGAATTGCCTTAGAAAATTCTATCACTGTCGCTTGTGCAGAGTAAAGATGGAAAGAAACCTCACGGTTACACAAGCTTTATGCAGCCTTTTCTGTGGTGGCCGTCAGGTCAGGCCCAAAGCAGGCAGGAAAAAGCCTCATAGCCCTTCCTTCTTGTGGCCCCTCATAAGCAATTGCAAAAGGAAGTGTGTGAGGGGTGGTCACATCGTGTGTTTCTGCAGCCAGATCTAGCCAGCCTGGATGTAGACATGAGTCCAGTGTGAGTACTCTCTCATTTGCATTAGTAAAACCAGGGAGACCTCCAAATCTCAAGAGTTGGAGATTCTCTGCTTTCCTACTCTTAATATGGCTCTATGTAATATTTTTTCAACCTTATCTTGATTTAAAGCTTCTTGGTTAAAATAACTAAAACAAGTTTAGAAGAATTACTGGGTTAAAACATGGCATTTTTCTTCCCACTAAATATGACAAATTCCACCAAAATATCTGCTGAGCCAGACTAATTTATCAGACTGAGTTCCTTGGGCATACAGACTGATTCATGCTCGTCTGCCCCAGCATCTAGCTGGGTGGGCATTCATCATTCATCAGATGCTTACTGAGCAGCAACACACTGGCCACTATGAGGAATTCAAACGTTAGCAAGATAGGGTCTCTGCCTAAGAGGGGGACCTTCTGGGGGAGTCTCTGGTGCTAATGTGGGGGAAGGTGGATGTGAACACAGTACCACAGCACTGAGCAAAATGGCTCCAGACAGGGAAGGGTTATTTTCAGGTGATGAACTAAAAAAACAAAAACAAAACAAAACCAAAAACCCTCATAGAAGAAACGGCACTTGAACTAGGCCCAGAAAGATGGATAAATTTCAGTATATGAATCCAGGAAGGGAAGCCAGTAGCTGCCAGTGTGGAATAGTGCCAGGGCGAGAAGGCACAAGTCATGGACTATCAAGGAGTGTGGCATCCACATAGAAAGTAGTGCAAGATAAGACTAGAAAAGTCAGTTGGTCCCAGGTTGTGCAGCATCTTGATCAAACTCCAGGCCAAAGAGTTTAACTTTGTTCTTGTGCACGAAGAAACTGTTGGAAGCTTCCCATACACCGGTGATCTAATTGAAGGGGTGCTTCAGAACAATTACTCTAGCCAGGAATGTTTAGAGTATATTGGAAATAGAAAGCAGGGTCAGCATGTTACTGCATTGTCTCAAGATACAAGAAGGCCCTTCTCTGTCAATAGGAAGGACAGGGGGACAGCTTTGAGAAATGTTGTGGAGTTACACTTAGCAGTACACCACCCCAGCAGAATGAAAGGGAAGAGATGACTAGAGCAGGTGTGGCACAGTTAACCAAGAAGGGCAACTGGGTAGAGAAATTAGTTTGTGGGGAAACGTGATGAGCTCTCTCAGGGGCAGTTTGAGCTTGAGGTGTTAGTAGAGCATATGCATGTGTAGCTGTGATTGATCAGATAATCTCTTTCCCAGAGTCAACCCTTGGAGGTGCTGCTGCTTCAAATTATGCAAATTCCACTTGGGGCCCGGGAGCCTCCTCCAACAACGGCGCCTCCCCCAACCCAATTCACATCCGGGACAAGGTGATTGTAGACGGGTCTGACATGGAAGAGTGGCCTTGTATTGCCAGCAAAGACACTGAGTCTTCTTCCGAAAACACCACCGATAACAACAGTGCCTCGAACCCTGGCTCTGAGAAGAGCACTCTGCCAGGAAGCACCACTAGTAACAAAGGAAAAGGGAGCCAGTGCCAGTCTGCAAGTTCTGGGAACGAATGTAATCTTGGGGTCTGGAAATCTGACCCTAAGACTAAATCTGTTCAATCTTCCAACTCTACTACAGAGAGCAACAATGGACTAGGAAATTGGAGGAATGTGAGTGGTCAGGATAGAATTGGACCTGGCTCTGGCTTCAGCAACTTTAACCCAAATAGCAACCCATCTGCCTGGCCAGCGCTGGTCCAAGAAGGAAATTCTAGGAAAGGGGCATTGGAAACTGATACTAGTAATTCCAGTGCACAGGTTAGCACAGTAGGTCAGGCATCCAGGGAACAGCAGTCAAAGATGGAAAATGCGGGTGTTAATTTTGTTGTCTCTGGCAGAGAACAGGCTCAAATTCATAACACTGATGGACCAAAAAATGGAAACACTAACTCCTTGAACTTAAGTTCACCAAACCCCATGGAGAATAAGGGAATGCCCTTTGGAATGGGCTTGGGGAACGCCTCCAGGAGCACTGATGCCCCTTCACAAAGCACTGGAGATCGAAAGACTGGGAGTGTTGGATCTTGGGGTGCAGCTAGGGGGCCTTCTGGAACTGACACAGCCTCTGGACAAAGCAATTCTGGAAACAATGGGAACAATGGAAAGGATAGAGAGGACTCCTGGAAAGGAGCTTCTGTTCAGAAATCATCTGGGTCAAAAAATGACTCTTGGGACAATAACAGGTCTACGGGTGGGTCCTGGAACTTTGGCCCTCAGGACTCTAATGACAACAAATGGGGTGAAGGGAACAAAATGACATCTGGGGTCTCTCAGGGAGAATGGAAACAGCCGACTGGGTCTGATGAGTTGAAAATTGGAGAATGGAGTGGTCCAAACCAACCAAATTCTAGCACTGGAGCATGGGACAATCAAAAGGGCCACCCCCTCCCTGAAAACCAAGGCAATGCCCAGGCTCCCTGTTGGGGAAGATCTTCCAGCTCCACAGGAAGTGAAGTTGGAGGTCAAAGCACTGGAAGCAACCACAAAGCAGGAAGTAGTGACAGTCATAATTCTGGCCGTCGGTCATACCGGCCCACACATCCTGATTGTCAGGCTGTCTTACAGACTCTTTTGAGCCGAACTGATTTGGACCCCAGGGTGCTCTCAAACACTGGCTGGGGCCAAACTCAAATTAAGCAGGACACAGTGTGGGATATTGAAGAGGTGCCAAGGCCTGAGGGGAAATCTGACAAAGGAACTGAGGGGTGGGAGAGCGCTGCCACACAGACCAAGAACTCAGGGGGCTGGGGAGACGCACCCAGCCAAAGCAATCAAATGAAGTCTGGATGGGGGGAGCTCTCAGCCTCTACAGAGTGGAAAGACCCCAAGAACACAGGAGGCTGGAATGACTACAAGAACAACAACTCTTCCAACTGGGGAGGCGCACGACCAGATGAAAAGACTTCTTCCTCTTGGAATGAGAACTCCAGCAAGGATCAGGGGTGGGGAGGGGGACGCCAGCCCAATCAAGGATGGACTTCTGGGAAGAATGGTTGGGGAGAGGAAGTTGATCAAGCGAAAAACAGCAGTTGGGAAAGTTCTGCAAGTAAACCTGTGTCTGGGTGGGGTGAAGGAGGGCAGAATGAAATTGGAACTTGGGGGAACAGTGGGAATGCAAGCCTAGCTTCCAAAGGCGGGTGGGAAGATTGCAAACGGTCTCCAGCATGGACTGAGACCGGCAGACAGCCCAGTTCCTGGAATAAACAGCACCAACAGCAGCAGCCACAGCAGCCGCCGCCACCACAACCAGAGGCTTCTGGTTCCTGGGGAGGCCCACCCCCACCACCTCCAGGCAACGGACGACCTTCCAATTCCAACTGGAGCAGCGGGCCACAGCCAGTAACCCCTAAGGATGAGGAACCCAGCGGTTGGGAAGAGCCATCCCCACAGTCAATTAGTCGGAAAATGGACATCGATGATGGCACTTCGGCGTGGGGAGACCCCAACAGTTACAACTACAAGAATGTGAATCTGTGGGATAAGAATTCCCAAGGGGGCCCAGCACCTCGAGAACCAAACCTGCCTACCCCCATGACCAGTAAATCAGCATCAGGTAGGCAATGGCTGCTTCTTGTGGGTTTGATAAAGAAAAACCCTAAACCAGGGCGTTTTTATTAAGCTGCATTTATTCAGCATGGCTTTGTTCTGGAAATCTTCCTACATTAACCCTACTCTACTGTTAACAGAAGCTCTCTTTTTATAAAATGATAGTGATAACAGATGCTGGTGGTACATTTTAATGTTCTTTCTTGGCAAAAGGAAAAAGATGGCATCCCTGTGGTAGTCTCCCAAAGTTTGTGGGTTTTGGGGTTTTTTTTTTTTGTAATTGTATTGGTCTTGTAGAATCCAAAGAACATATCTTGCTAAACAAACTATGCTCCAGATTTAAAAATGAAAAATTAAAATAGTAGCAGAAATAGACCTGATTTCCATTCAGTTTCTACCCGTGGACATATCCTCTGTGTTTCTCCTTCCCCAGCGAAGGGAAGTATTTTGTGGTGTTCTCGAAGGGGCCGTTGAAATGCTGTAGCACAGCTGGGATCTGGAAGGTTTCAGTCACTTTCCAGATGACTTTTAATGATCACCTCTGGAAGTGGAGTACTTCATGTAAGAAATAGTTCTCTCATGATAATCAGTTGCCCAGAATTAAACTTTCTTCTTCCTCTATTTGAATAGAAACCCCATACCTGGTAAATTAAAAGTAGTGCTAGTAATACCATCTTTGGCATCGTCAACTTGAATGTCCCCATAAAGCATATAATTCAACAAATTAAGGGGATGCACTGTTCAGGTGGGGTTTTTGTTTTTATTTTTAAGGTAGAATTAATACTTAGTTTTCAACTCTTCAAGTAAGCATAGTGTTGAGTGAATGCAGTTATGGCCACTTAGAAAATGATTGCTTTTAACTGGTTCTTTTTTTTCCCCTCAAATATTGAAAAGAATGAAGAAGGAAATAAAGATTGCTCATTAATTCCCTGTCCAGCATAAAACCTGCTAACATGAAAAAAATTCATTATCCATATAATAAAAACCTTCAAACTGTACAGAAAAGCAAAATATAATAAATAAAAGAATCTTAACCCCTAGGGTCTCTTCCCACAGGTAATCCCTTAGAGTTTCGTGTCTCATTCAAAAATTTTGTTCATACCTATAAGCTAAATACATCTACCTTTACAGCTTTTACACAGAAGGGATTGTACTAGATACACTATTCTTCACCTTGCTTTTTTCATCATACTTTAAAACTTTCCATGTTAGCACATACATTTTTGTCTTTTATTTGCTTTGTGTACAGTATTTATTTCATGGGTGACACAATTGGCCTAACCAGTCCCTTTTTGATAGATATTTAGGTCGCTTCCAACACTGATACAGTGAGCATTGTTGTACATGTAATTTTATGTACTTTACAAGTATATCTATGGTATAATTCCCTGGCAGTGGAATTGCTGAGCCAAAAGTTAAAGTGACAATGCCACTTGCCTCCATGAGGGTGGAACCCATTCGTATTTCTGCCAACAGAACAGAGGAGTGCCTGTTCCTCCCACCTTCACCCCCACCCCATATCCACTCCCTGGATGTTAGGATGTTTCCTTTAACAGATGATTCTTAGAGAGCCGTTTTCTTTCTTTGCAGTCTGGAGCAAAAGCACACCACCTGCTCCAGATAATGGTACTTCAGCTTGGGGTGAGCCAAACGAAAGCAGTCCTGGGTGGGGTGAAATAGATGACACAGGAGCATCGACCACAGGCTGGGGGAACGCACCCTCCAACGCTCCAAATGCCATGAAACCTAGTAAGTGTACAGCATTATTTGTGAGGGAGTCTCCATTAATTTGGGGGCCAGACATTTTGGTGGGGTGTTCTAATGTTTAAACCGTTGTTTCAGTGAGACTGAGGACCGTGAACCTTTGATAAATGATCAGTATCAAATGGCAGTGACTTAGCTGTGCATATGTTAACATGTTTACAGTCTAGAAGTCAGAAGTTAACTTTGATTTTCTTTTATGTTCGGTTTAGTATCTGGGCAGAATTGAAATGTTGACGTGGTGCTTTTTTTTGCCAGTAACTTAAATATTGTTCACCATCTCTCTTTTGCATTTCTGCCCCTTTGTTAGTATAGTTTTTAAAAAGACTTTTCTGGCTTTTACTGTGGAACACAGTCTCTACTGCTCAGTGACTTTATCCTTCTGTTTCTTCCTCGTCCCTTTGTCTCTCCTCTCATACTTCCACCCACATAGGAACACGTAAGGTTTCTTGAACCCAACAAAGATTTCTTCGTTTGAGTGTTTTATACAAAGCATGTCACACTTATTCGTAATCATTGAAATTCTAAGCTATCCTTGATCCAACTGGCAATGTGTAGTCACAGTAATTTGCAAAACTTTGTAAACCGATGCTATGGAGTGTCTCATTGGATGTTCCTCCGTTGAAAAATTCAGTTTCAAGTGCCCATTTTCACTTGTTTATCGTTTTCTTAAAAAGCATTCCAACATCTCTTTTCTGCCACATTACAGACTTAAGGAATTATCTTTTGATTTAAAAAATGTGGTCATACTGTATGCTCAAAATTTAAACAAGAATAATAAATTCTGTTGTCAATTTTATTGTATGATATTTATGACTCTTATAGCGCCCCATGAAGAACAGTCTTAGCTATATCCTAGAAATTCATCCTTGAGTCTATAATTTGCATTTTAAAAATTATGAGTCTACTTCACTTCAGAGAAATAGCTTTATAAAGACCATGATTTCATCATGATTTTCACTGTAAAATTGGTTGTATCATCATGGGAAATACCACGCTATAAACTTGAAATAGATCCAAAATGGCTGTTGGAAGACATTGACCAGACCTTTGGCACAAGGAGATACTTGAGCAGTACTGTCAGGATTTCTCCGTGTCTTTCCCAACCTTAGAATCACCCTTCTTCCATCACAGAAGCTTCACAGTTTAAAAAATGTCTTCTCTTCTTCAGGATCGTCTATACTTAAAGCTGTATTTATACTTTCCCTTTGTCTGGGTAATACGAATGTGGAAGGGGCTAGAATGTTTGCCTCACCATATATAGATGGATTCGATAAGATGCCAAATACCCTAAAATGCTGCATTCATAAGGACCAATCATTGTGGGTATTGTCATATATAGCTATTACATACGGTTGATCCATTCTTTTCTTAAAGATTCCAAATCTATGCAAGATGGCTGGGGGGAGAGTGACGGTCCAGTGACGGGAACTCGCCATCCCAGCTGGGAAGAGGAGGAGGATGGAGGAGTCTGGAACACCGCCGGCTCTCAGGGAAGTGCTTCCTCCCACAACTCAGCAAGCTGGGGACAAGGAGGAAAGAAGCAAATGAAGGTAGCCCACTTTAGAAATGTTTGAGCTTGTTTCTTCATTCTTAGAAGGCAGAACTGACAATTTTCTAGTGGAAGGAGACCCTGAGGTCCTAACTAAGGGGAAAATACTTTCTCAAGAGCAAATAATTACTTCCTCTTTACTCCTCATCTTCCTTCCCCATGACCTTGAAACCTCGAACTACAGAGCTGTTGCTGTGAGCAAAGTGGAATTTTCAAAGACAGGAGTTTTTTTTCACTTTTAGTTTCCTCCATATGATAATAATTCTTTGGAAGCTTTCAAGGCACACTTTATAAATGTTTTATGCTTTTGCATTCTAAAGCCAAGGAAGTCCTTAGGGTAAGTCCCCATGATATATAGAAAAGAAACCAAAGAAAGATAGCTTCTCCAGTGGCGATCAGCATGACTGGTTTTTATCCGATTAGGGAAATTCCAAAACCCAGAACCATTCTTCCAACAAAGTGAAGTGCCAGTGCGTAACCCTGCTGTAGCAACCGGCTGATTTATCTACATCCCATACCGGGGTGTGTTCTAAAGTTGTTGCCTTCCAAAGCGCCTGAGTGGTTCAGTTGGTGAAGCATCCGACTCTTGATCTCAGTGCAGGTCTTGATCTCAGGGTCGTGAGTTCAAGCCCCACACTGGGCTCCACGCTGGTCATGGAGCCTACTTAATTAAAAAAAAAAAAAAAGAATAAAATTGTCACTTTCCTTGTCTTAGAGCAACTCAATTTCTACTTTGATTTGCGTAATTTGATGAGGACTTTGGTTTCAATCTAGAACGAGTCTTTGTACCTGAACCACTCTCTCAGCAGAGGCGTTCTTTCCCTTCTGCAGGTAAATTGATGGAAATAAGAAATGGACAGTCATATATTTAATTTTAACATGGGAGCCTTGCTGCCCTGTGAAACATTTCACGGTGAATATTGTCCTGGTTTCCAATACCAAGTACCCTCCTGGAAGGTCTTCAGTTGGCTAAGGGGGCTGTACCTTCATCCCCTTTGCCGCAGGATATTAATTTTGTGCTGAATACGATAACTCAGTAGCCTAAGAACACAGGTAGTTCCTTTTGGAGGCATCCTGTTTAAGCAGCCAGTTACAGTTTCCCTTCTAAGGACTTCTGTTTGCTCCCCTTAGTCACAGAAGGAATTATTCAGTAAATTTCTCAGCATCTTTGTACTCTCATGTTGTCTGGCTTGATGTGGCTTTGTTTTTGTCATTTACAAATTCCTAGTGAGACAGAATGAAAAGACAGTCGAGGGAGACTGCTGATTGACCAGAATTGAGCGAGGGAAAGGTGCTGGTCCACTCGGGTGGCCCCAAGATGTAATTGATCCAGCTCAGTGGGAATTCAGTGTTTCTGCCCCATGACTGACAATTCTGACCTTTTGCATCCAGGGCCTTTTTTTTTTTACTGATTGTGATCAAAGGCAGATAACGTAAGATTTACCATTTTAGCCATTTTTAGGTGCACAGACAGTTCAGTAACGTTGAGTACATTCACGCTGTTGTGCAACCATCACCACATCTCGCCACAAAACTCTTTTCATGTGCAAAAATGAGACCGTTTGCGTTAAACAAAAACTACCAATTCTCCCATCCCTCCAGTGAGGGCTTTCTTGACCTTAAAACCTTTAACGTTAGTGAACTCCTTCACTTTCAAGAATAATAAAATCGACATAACAAATATCATCAAACCACAGAGTTTTTATTTGTAGAATGTACAAGTGCACAAAGCCCCATCACCCCCTGTCCCCACCAAGGCCTCATCACAGTTCCACCTGCCTTCTCCGTAGAAGTAAAAGGGGAGCTGATGTTGGGTGTCATGTTTCAGGAAGAAACTAGGTCCCTTAAGAAACAAAAATTCAGGGGCGCCTGGGTGGCTCAGTTGGTTAGGCGTCTGCCTTCACCTCAGGTCATGATCCCAGCATCCTGGGATCGAGTCCCACATCAGGCTCCCTGCTCAGCGGGGAGCCTGCTTCTCCCTCTCCCCCTCCCCCCGTTCTTGCTCATGCTCACTCTATCTCAAATAAATAAATAAATAAAATCTTAAAAAAAAAAAGAAACAAAAACTCAGCGCCTGCCTTACTTTGCAGTAAGATCAGTGATGTCTTCTGCTAGGCCTCTTTCCCACTGGGGACCCCTGTCATTTATACTGTGAAACAAGCAGATGAAGGGTACATGGATGAGTCCTCATTGTATCCACACAGAGACTAATGACCAGCGTAAATGGTCTATTTTAACAGGCTGGCGCCTATTTATTTTCCAAATAACAGGGACTAGCATTGAACTCCTTTTCTTCTAATACAAACCGGGTTACAAGGAGAGAGTGAAAGGAAAAGTACTAGCATGCAAACATTGTATTTTAGAAGATCTGATATTTCCTTCTGTTTATAAGGTAAAAACACCAGCTGACCTGGGTGCCTGGGTGGCTCAGTCGGTTAAATGTCTGCCTTCAGCTCAGGTCATGATCCCGGGGTCCCAGGATTGAGTCCCGCACTGGACTCCCTGCTCAGTGTGGAGTCTGCTTCTCCTGCTCAGTGTGGAGTCTGCTTCTCCCTTTCCCTCTGCCATTCCCCCTGCTTGTGCTCTCTCTCTCTCAAATAAATAAATAAAATCTTAAAAAAAAAAAAACCCAGCTGACCATATATTTTTCCAGTTACTTCTAATTCAATGTGACGAATAGAATAAGAATGAAAACACAGATAGATCTAAAGCTTATTAGTCTTTCAGACTAACGGATAAAATATCAAAATAACCATAGTTAAAGAGGGAAATTTGGGTTAAAAAAGGTAAACTCTTGGTTCTGCATTTTCAGTCAGTACTTAAATGCAACTCAGATATGAAGTGAGATGAAATAATTTGGTTCTGAGGTTACATATTTCATTTCTGTAGTGCTCACTGAAAGGAGGAAATAATGATTCATGGATGAATCCTCTTGCCAAACAGTTTTCAAATATGGGATTGCTGGTAAGTTTCATTTTCTTATATGTGTAATACAGCCCAGCTTTTACTTTTAGTACAGATGCTAAGACCACTGCCACATAGAGTACAACATTACAGAGTTAGAAACTGGTTAAGCAGTGTTTCTGATTTGGGTTAAGCAATATTTATCCTCTATTCATTTATTCGTAATTAACTACTCCAATATTTAAAGCTTATAGCTTTTGAATTTGTAGTCCTTGTATCCTTTTCCTTAGGCGCTTAGAGGAAGAAAGAGCCAGGCCTTAATAACACTTACATAATTTTCCCTGACTACTGCTGTACCAGTGTTAATATTACAGTTTTGAAAACGGCAGCAACAGCAAAGTAACTAGAGAAAGTATTTGTAATTAATTATATAAGGAATTCTTGTAGGGTTCCTCTTTTTTTTTTTTCCTTCTCTCTTGGGAACATCGTGGGGACACCCAGTCCCTGGTTGCCAAAAGACAAATAGCTTGACTTGGCTGCACATTTCCAGATTTGATGACTTGACAAGTCACGAGAAGAAGTTGTCATCATTTGGCTGACACTCGTGGAATTTGATCCTGAGCCGACTGGAACTTGAGCAGGGTTTTATTTCTCTAAGCAGCTACTTAACTATGCTCTGTCCATAGAATTACTGAAGCTACTTCTATGTGAAAATTGAATTTAGGAGTATAGACACCCAACAGCAGTCAAATCAGTCGTATCCTAAACGATCTTGTCTTCATCCCAGTGTAAGGTTCACGTCGAAAGAATCTTGTATACTGCCCGTAGGACACCACAGCTCTCATGTAAATAATGCCATTTTTTTCTCTGATCCAGACTTTGAATTCAAACTTTTAATCCTCCCTCCCTGTTGCTGCTTTTTCAGAGTCAAACTGAAGATAATCCAGGCAGCAAAATGGATTTGTCTGTAGGTGTGTATCACTCCACTGATATGAATGGAATATGTTGTTGTTAATGATGCCATGTTGGATCCCTGCTCAGTTTGAGTTGGGATAGGTGCTACTCAGCAGACCAGATGAAGGACCATCCTAGACACTAGGTATAGGGGTTGAAAACTCCAAACGGCTGCAGGATCCAGGAAAGTCACGTAAATGAATGGTGTGTGCCAGGTGTAAGCAGGTGGGAGTTGGAGGACACTGGTTAGCTGTGGGGGGCCTGTGTACCACGAAAAGGATAAAGGACTCAGCCTTGCTCGGCCCTTAGCGGTTGTTGCCCTGGAGAGTAAAGGTTCAGCCTTGTCAGAGCTTCCAGTTTTCAAGCAGGGCCAGAAATTTAGACATACATTGACAACCTGATATTTAAATATTGGAACCTAATTCAGATTGTTAAAAACTGTGGTGTGTGGCCAAACCCAGTGTGTCTGTGGCCCTGCCATCCTCTGCCCTCAGGTTGCTAGTCCCGTCCGCACTGGGGTGTTGCATTATTGACGAGCTCCCCCACTGCAGGTGGGGCAGATGCTGTATCAGCCCTTGGTCTGTGGGGTCATCCCTGTGACACTGTTGCTCACCTTGAGGAACTTAAAAAGAATCAGACCAGGAAGAAAGGGAAACAGTCCTGAGTCATAAGGGAAATAGCCTTTGATCTATGATATTTTAAAATCTAACAATAACGAAAAAGTAACCTTCCAGGGGCACTGATCATGTCAGTATATAACAGCAAATTTCCAGAGCTGTGAAGAAAAGGAGGAATAACCATGGTACCTGGGAAATCACGAGGCCTTTTTATCCCCAATACCTGTTTCACAGCCCCACACATTGATCTGGCAGACGCTAAAAGGGCAAGAGACAAATTTTCTCCCTGAGCACATTTGAGTTTATGAGCAAGTGATATTCATCAAACATATCAATAACCAGTGGAAATATTTTTTTAGTCAGATTTTTACCAGGTTGGCCCTAAGTCTCTCTTTCAGTCTTCCATTGAAAACAAGCTACAACTGATAGGAGTTTTTTAAAAAGGAACAAAAGGATCCACATGTCCTCCAGGGAGGGTCCCCAGCAGCCTGAACCAAGGAGATCCTTGTGATCTACACGCAACACCTCAGGGAAGAGAGTGGGGCTGGAACTCCTCGTCATGAGGGAGACATTGGTTCTTGAAATTTTCACTTCTTCTGTGCTCCTTTTCAGGGAGCCTTCCAGATAAAAAATTTGACGTGGACAAGCGAGCGATGAATCTCGGGGATTTTAATGATATCATGAGGAAGGATCGATCTGGGTTCCGTCCACCTAATTCCAAAGACATGGGAACCACAGACGGTGGGCCTTATTTCGAGAAGGTGAGTCGAATCCTTTGTTTAAGACCATGATTGATGCGAACCACTTTGGTTCCCATTTGTTCTTTTGGTAATCAATTCCAGGAGGAAGCATAGAATTATTGAATTAATTAATGAGCAAAACGCAGACATCACCTGCATGTAAGTGGTGATGTAAAAACAGTTGATGTCAACAGGTGATTACGCAGAAGCTAGCACCATCTGTCTTTAGTATGTGAGTATTGTGAACAAGGTCTGAGTGTTTAGAAATTTTATGAAGTTTGGAAGGGGGAAATGAATGGTCTTTTTACAGTAGGGCAAATGCATACTCGAAACATGTAGAAGAAATTTTAGAGACAAATTTATTCCGAATACTTTTTTCTGCTGCTATACAATGAGAAATTAAATTTGGGATCTTGTGCACATAATCCGTATCTCCCAAGGCCTTGCCTTCTAGCTTAGTCAAGCTGGCCCAGAACTTTCTCTTTTGTTATTTCTAAGAGAGTTCCTTTGTTCTTTCTCCATTCCCCTAGTGACCTATTTTTAGTTACAATGGTGTGCTGTCCAAATTCTCAACTATCTGATTTAAAGAAGTCGTTTATACCTAGTTCTTTTGATTTTTATCATTCCTGATGGAGGAAATAATTCCTTGATTCAGAATACTGATTTGCCATAGCCCTGGATCTTCAGAAAGCAATTAAAACCAAAAGTTTTAGATCTGGCACATTTTTGACATCACTGATGATGCTGTTCCAGGCAGCAACAGATTCCCAAGAAGCTTACTCTGGCTTCTCTTTCAGCAGCCACATAGAGTAATCAATATTAGATGCATAAAAATAAAGTGTCTGGCAATTTTTATCCTAGTGCAATGGACAGAATGTGTTACTGACTTAGAGGATAAGAAAAAATCCGTATCTGAGATGACAGATGGTGTCTCTTGGGCCAAGTGTGATGACTCTTATCAGATCCAAATTCCATCCTCGTTTATTGCTAATACACTCTTAATTCTGTTTGTTCCTAGTGTTTCTCTCTTGTCCCTTCTTGCATTCTGTTGCTTCACTAACCAACACTCATTGTGATTGGCTAACTCCTACTACTTTTCAGCTGACTTTGCCTTTCTCCAATCAAGATGGGTGCCTTGGGGATGAGGCTCCCTGCTCTCCCTTCTCCCCTTCTCCCAGCTACAAGCTGTCTCCCTCTGGTTCCACACTACCCAACGTCAGCCTTGGAGCAATCGGCACAGGGCTCAACCCCCAAAACTTCGCTGCTAGACAAGTAAGGAGGCCTCTCAAATTTACAACTGCTTGGCTGTGGCCTCGCCTTGGCCCTGGTCTGCAGTTCATTGCATCATTTGTCTGTCTTGGGAAATTTGTTGATTACTGAATGCACAGAATGATACTAAGTATAGGCTTTAGATCTCTTAGCCCGTAGAACCCATCTCTCCTCATATTTTCTCAACATGGATTTTATTTAAATCTGTTTCTTTTGTCTTCTCATTTTTGGTCATAAGTTCACATTTAAGAAGTTAACTAAGTTCTAAGTTAAGCTAAGTTCCTAAGAACTAGCTTAGGAAAATGTTAAGGAGGCTATGTAGGTACCTTATATCATCTAACTTAGCAACAAATTTGCCATTCTTAACCTGGGATTGAAAGGCAAGTGATATTTTTGAAGTCCTTTCAATTTAGTAAAACTTCTAAATAGAAAATGGCAGCAAAACTAGTAGGAGTAAATACTTGAGGGTTACAGCATCTTAAAATCTAGTGTCTTTAAGTGTAAAATACAATAATTACCCAGAGAGAGGTAATTTGATAGGGGAGAATGAAGTTTTGGGAAGACTGGATGTTTCCTAGGGGCGGGCCTCAGTCCTCCCAGGAGGGGCCGTGCACCAGGATTGAGACTGGCAGGGCAGGCCCCTGGGGCCCCCTCACCTCCACGGGCCTGACATAGCGCGGCAGGCCTCTGTCACCCCACAGCAGCTCCGGGGTAGTTCTCGAGGAGAAAACCAGGAATTTGAAGAAAATTCCTCTGTGACATGACCCCAGTGATGATATTTTCCTAGCCACAGTTCTGTGACCATTTACCTGTCACCGTGACTCTCACCTCAGGATGTCATGGAAGGACATTTAATTATTAATTGTATCCATTCTGTTTCCACATGCTGACTTTCACAAACAAGTGAAAAGGTATTATAAAACACCTCTCACACCATAATCCTTCAGTTGCACACAGGTCTTTCATATGCTTTCTAATTATTACTGTAGCACATTTTAAAAATGGATCATATAATATCCATGTGTTCAGTTGGTTATCTCTGGTTTGGGAGTTATGGGTAATTTCTTGTTTTCTTTTTTTATATTTCACTGTTTTTCTTAATGTTTCCACAGAGGACATAGACATGTATTGCTTATATAAACAAAGAAGAAATAATTGTATCAGTAGTTTGGGGCAGCTCTTTTTTTTTGGACTGAAGCATAGAAAATATAAAATAGTCCTAACACTCTTGATTAATGATAAATACAAACATGCCTACAGAATTTCACATTTATCAAGAGCCATTAGTATATAATTTTTAGTATAACAGACCAGCCAAAGTAGCTGGCACTGGACTCTAAGGAAAGGTCATTCCTCTTTGGGTTTTTTTTATCCTAAAAATGAAATGCTACAAAGTCCATTGTGAATCCGGTGGATACACATTTTATCTAAATATGGTCGTGGTTCTTCTACACCATTTTCATGCAGGCTTAATATAGTTCATAATGAAAAATTAAAATGTAAGATTTTTATTTTCAAATCACAGATTTCAGTCAGCTTGGTAACCTTGTTTCTAATTTATATGCGTTTCTATTTTAAACACTGTAGTTGAGGCAGCTATCACCAATAAATACTAAGACTCAGGTCATCATAAAAGCCTTATATTCAACAGTAAAGCTGTAGAAATAACCATATAAACCACCATTAACATACATATAAGCATTTGATGACCGTTTTCCTAATTTCTAAATACAGTCTTAAAAAAACCTCTGTATGATTGCCACTAAACTTATTACTCTGAGAAATAGCTACTTCTGAGCCAAGAAAAGGAGCAGCAGTGCCAGGGTTCCATATTTAAAGAGAGAGAAGGTGTTTTTTGATAGACTCCTGTTGACCCATCTATATTATTATCCATATCAGATGTATCACAGGGCTTGATAGGGCTTTAGAGACACTTGATAAAGCAAACCTAAAACCTCTGGGCACTGGGGTGGGGGTGGCATCTGTCCACTGGGAATGTGCAAATAGGGCCTGATTTTATAAAAACTAAAAAAAGGCAAATTCCTTCTGATATTTCTTACCAAAAGAGAGGTTGGAATTTAAAGCAGTTTGGACTTTTTAAAACATGGATTCTGGCAAAGAACTTCAGCTACCAGAAACCCCACCATCCAAGGACCCAACCATGAGTAATTAGCATCTAATAACAAGGTCATTACTTTTATAGTAAAGTGTGAGAATGATCTTAGCAGAATAGTCTCAGTGAAACAGATGTTTCCTGTGTTCTTGAGAATGATCAGTAGGTAAGCTACCAAATCCCACGATCTTAGAAAAATTAGAGCCAAACCATGTCACCTTAGAGTGACAGTTTGATTAGTAAGATAGGGGAAGTGGAGACATTACCACTTGTAGAATTAAAGGTCTTTTCATGTTTAAACAGTTTTGGGGAGATTTAAAATTCGTGGTGGATCTTTGATTTTCTTTTATGAGATATACACAGGTTTTGATTGCCTTTTCTACTTTTATGTTCATAGCCATTTTTATTTTCAGTGCTTTTAAGTTCATTAATTTCCCGACAGCAGTCCCTTAATCTATTTTGAATCATTAAGCCATTGAAATATCTCCAGTGTTCTAGAACTTAAGGGTGCTGTTACAGAATTCTTCTTTAAAATTACCTGAATCCCCACTATGTCAGGGAGAAGATGTGACTTCAGTTCAGAATACACATACTTGGTACAAGCAGTGGTACAGCTGTCTTCACTGAAGATATTCAGTGGGATGTTGTCAAGTATATGGAATTGGTTGACAATGACGTTTGCGTCCTACAGACTAGGACTTTATTGAGTTCGGGGAATACAAAGAAGGAAGTATTAAGCTGGTGGTGGAAAGACAGAATGGAAAATTAATATGACTTGCTGATGGGTGCTATCAAAGAGTGTTTAAAGTGTTTTGAGAACATAGAGGTGGGCTCAGTTAATTTGAATGTGAAACGAGGAAGAAGGTATGGGGAAGACTTCCTTTATGAGGATGACCTCTGAGCTGGGCCCCGAAGAGGCCAAGTGGAGATGGTGTAGAAGCTTTCCTCAGACAGAGGGAACAGAGTCAAGTTCTTTGCTGAAGGGCTGTTCTCGGCTTGAAACAAGTCAGAACAGAAGGGCCATCATCTAGCCCAGTTTCCTGTAGCTCTTTGATTAGAATAGTCTAGAAGTGCTCCAGTGAGTTGGTCCTCCAGAAGTCAGGGAATTAAGCTTATTTTTAACCAGACTAATGTTCATACATTGGAATGAGAAGTTAAAGGTGAGTAATGGGGTTTTTTTGGTATCCCTGTAATGGTTTTTCACTTTTTCCCTTTTCTGCTTTTTTCTTTTTTTCTTTCTTTCTTTCTTTCTTTCTTTCTTTTTTTAACCTCACTCTTGATTTAGATTTTCTCATCTAGCAAAGAAGGGATCAAGCAGGCCCAAGACAGGGAAGGGTGTTCAGATCTGAAGTAGGGTTCTCATGGAGCTAGGCTACGATTTGGTGGCACTGATTCCATGATTGAACTAATCAATTCAGAGACATTATGTCCTAGTGTTGTTTTACACTTGCTATTATTCAGAAGAAGCCTGCATTTGTACTCAGGTGCCTTTCAAGATGGAGCTCAGATTATTGGACTTGAGAATAAATTTGGCAAACCCAATCTTTAAAAAAAAGAGAAAAGAGAGAATAGTTGAAATAAACATTATATTGCCTATACGTTTCAATTGCAAAAAAAAATTAGTGCATTTTTTTAACATTTGACCAAATTTAACCCTTTTGGTTATAGAGTGCGTCCAACTGCAGGGGTGGTGGTGCTGTGCGCATGATTTGATTTGAATAATTTTCCCAGGCATTCCAAGACCAGGAACGTTTCAGTTATAAAATTCTGTGATTCCGTGGAACACAGGATATGATTCTTCTGAGGGATAGAAAACCAGAACTGTTTCTTTTTTGCATTTTCTTAACATTAACAAAAAGCCTTACTGTTGCTGTTACATTTACAGGGTGGCAATCATGGTTTGTTTGGAAATAGCACAGCACAATCGAGAGGTATGCACACGCCAGTGCAGCCACTAAATTCTTCTCCTAATCTCCGGGCGCAAGTGCCTCCCCAGTTTATTTCCCCCCAGGTAAGCAATTTTATGTTTCCACAGTTCATCAATAAAGCCTATGCAGGTGGTTATCAGTTACCAACTGACAGGTTTTATGAGCATAAAAGAAATCATAGTTACCTAAATGTCTAAAATGTAAAAAATCTAGATCAAGATATTTATTTACTTATTTATAAAGATTTTACTTATTTATTTGAGAAGAGAGAGAGAGAGAGAGAAAACACAAGCAGGGGGAGGGGCAGGAGGAGAAACAGGCTCCACACTGAACAGGGAGCCCGATGCAGGGCCCGATCCCAGGAAGCTGGGATCATGACCTGAGCCGAAATCAGACGTTTAGCTGACTGAGCCACCGAGGTGCCCCCAGATAAAAATTTTTAGAACAAAATGTCAAACTCATTTCTTTATTGTATCATACATATAAAGATGTTTTTGCATGAAAAGCATTATGATTATATTCCTTTTAGACGTCTCTATATTTTTCTACTGCATTGATTGTTTTAATTGCATGTAAATAAAACTACTTTATAAATCCTGATGTGTCAACATTCTGAAGTTGGTTGCCCTTGAGGATTTACCTGCAGATAAACAGGAGAATAGCCAGGCTCTGGATTACTCTGAGAAGTTTTTAGGAGATGGATTCTGAAATACTGACTAGGTGCTCTGGGAGGGGGGATTTAGAATGAAGCGGCAGAGACTTACTCTTGGAGCAGCTCTGTGTTGTGGGGTAAAGTCTTTTGGGAAACCTTTTAGATCCGTTTCTTAGTTGGAGATGTGCAGTGAGTTGTTTGCAGGGTATAGGGGAGAGATTTGTGCCACAAACTGTCCCTCATACCTCTTTGTGAGAAAATGGATCTGAGGAGCAATATAAAAGCAGAGGAGTCCATGTAAGGATTCAGTGCGTGACTTAGTCTCCTTAGAATGTTACTTCGGTGAACCAAGATAAAGAGCTATGAGTGTCCCATCCTATAAAAGGGGGTGGGACACTTACTAGGTCCAACCAACAGGTTGTAAAGGGTCAGGTTTTGTTGCTGTTTTGTTTTTGAAATATAAGACATAGGCTTAAAATATTTATTTGAAACCATATCTTATAGATTACAAATTCTGTGTTTGACATTGAGTCCATAACTATCTTAGTAGGGGAGAAAATGTTCGTCACCCCACCCTCTCGTCTCCATGGTCCTGAGCCAGGTGTCTGGGAGTCTTCTTGGTGTCTCTCCTTCCTTGACCCTCTAAGTTCCAGTCGTCCCCCAGGCTCCAGGTAGCAGTTTGTCCTGTAAACAGAGCTGCTCCCAACTTCCCCAGCACTCCACAGTCACTGCATCTTCTTAACTCCCAGAGCACCCTCCAACATTACTGGTTGTCAGGCCACAGTCCTGTGGTTATCAGATGTCTGCAGTGTGCCTGGTGGTGGAGTTGGCCTTGCACAGATGCAGAAACTGCCGTCTCCTATCATACCCTCCTGGAGCTGGTGGGGATGATGGCAGAGTACTCAGCAAATAGGCAGTGTGATAAATGTTACATAGAAATGTCTAACACAGGGACGCCTGGGTGGCTCAGTCGTTAAGCATCTGCCTTTGGCTCAGGTCATGATCCCAGGATCCTGGGATTGAGCCCCGCATCGGGCTCCCTGCTCCGCGGGAAGCCTGCTTCTCCCTCTCCCACTCCCCCTGCTTGTGTTCTGTCTCTCGCTATGTCTCTGTCAAAAAAGAAATGTCTAACACAGTTTGGGAGCTGGGCGAGGCCTTGCACTGGGAATGACATTTAAGCTGGGTCTTGAAGAATGAGTCAAGAGTTTGCTGAGTACAGCTGGGTTAAAGCTGCCTTCTAAGCAGCAGGAGCAGCTTGGACAAGGAGCAGTAATATCTGGAAGAACATGGTATGTTTGGGACAATGCAATTGATTTGAATAATTAGTTTGAGCTTGTTGAAGCATATAGATGTTGTCTAGAGTGGGATAGGAAAAAACTAGTCAGGAAGTTTGGCACCAGTTTTGGAAAAGCTTTGTTTGCCTTGCTAAGGAGTTTGGACTTTGTCCCTTGTAACCATTATCTGGGTCGCTACTTACAAATACAGTTCCCAGGTCTCCCCCAGTCTATTGAGACAGAATCTTGGGAGTTAGGGCCTAGTCACCCCCTGGTGATTTTTATCTGCACCCTAAAGTTTAGCTGCTGCTGCTGCTGCCGCCGTAGATACTGTAGTATTGGGCAAGATTTTTTAGCTGAGTGGCAGTGCAGGAAAACTTATGTTTTAGAAAACTCACATTGACAGAAATGTAGAGGACATGTTTGAATGGCAGACTTACTAGAGCAAAGGAGTCCAGGGAAGGTGGTGGCAGTGAGAATGAAGACAGTGTGAAGATCACAGATGGCCTTTGTGTTGTGGAGTACCGTGGTCTGTTCTCCAGTCTCTTCTCACCGTATCAGCAGCATCTGACATAGATGGTCACGCCTTCCCTTCTGAAACTTTTCATTCATTTGGCTCTTGGACACCTTGTACAGTGGTTGTCCACCTGCCTTCCTTTGTCCGTCTCCTTTACAAGCTCCTCCTTACCTCCCCGACATTTACCATCAGAGAGCCCCAGTTGGACTTCTCGACCCTCTTGTTCTCACCATCTACAGCCGCTGCCGGGTGATTTTGCCCAGTGAATGGCTCTAAATATTGACAGTCACAAGACTGTGTCTTCAGCCCAGATCTATCTTCTCAATTCCATAGACCTCTGGGCATCTCTATTAGGATGCCTTACAGGCACTTCAAGTCAGCATGTCCAGAACAGCTTGTGATTTCATCCCGTACTCGCTTCTAAAACATCCTCTTCCTCCAAGTAAATGGCACTCCCATCCTGCAGGTGCTCAGGCCGCAGACCTCAGAGCTAGTGGCGGGGGGGGTCCTCTCAACTCACATTCAGTCCATCAACAAGTCCCCCCTCAGAACTCTGTTCTGAACCTATTTCCTCCCACCTCTGCTAGCATGACCCGTGGCAGGCAACCGCTGTCTCTCTCCCAGAAGTGGCCTCCCGATGCGTCCTGCCCGGCTTTCTGTAGCACCTGCCTGCCTCCAGTGTCTTCTCCACCCAGCATTCTGAGGATCCTCTAAAACCGCAGTCCAGGGTGGCCCTCAGCCACCTGAGCACTTGAAACGTGACCAGTGGGGTGGAAGAACTGAAATTTTAATTTTAATTGATTTAAACTTAAATCGCCACACCTGGTTGGTGGCTACCGAACGAATACTGTAGATGGGTAGCTTTTCTAGCATCACAGAAAGTTAAGGGTAAGTCATGTCACCACTTTGTCCTCTCATGGCTCCCTCTCTCACTGAGAATACAAAGCCAGCTCTTTACTGTGGGCTTTGTTGCTCTTGGTGACCTCCCCACCCCAGACACCTACCATTCTCCCTCCCGTTAGTTCTGGCCTCTCCAGTCAACTTGCCCTAGGGCAGCAAGCGTGTTCTGGACCGCTCTTCTCAAAGACTGCCCCCGGGTTCCATCCTTCAGACGTCTGCTGCCATGGTGCCTTCTCAGAGAGGCTCTCCCAGGCCAGGCTATGCACAGTACAGTTGCTCTCCTCACCCCCGGGCATGTGCTAAGCTTCACAGTGGCCGAGTCTGTGTCTGCTTTGTTCACTGCTGGATCCTGAACATCTACAACTGCACAGGGCACGTATTTTGAGTAAATCTATGTCAAGTCATGGGAAGATAACATTTCAGAATGATTTAGTAAGTGGAATTGTTAGGGAAAGCATAGTTAACTTAGTCTAAGAGACCTCAGGCTGCCAATCCCTTTATGACCAAAGCATCTTATCTGTGTGGAAAAGAAAAGTATTTGTGTTCTACATTTTTGAGATTTGTTTATTTAGCAAAACATGGTTAACGCTTATTTGATGCATAATGGGGACAGAATATTAAACAATGGAAACTTCAGTTTTTTTCCTCACATTTCCAAATTTTAAAAAAGCATTGGGTAGCTCTTTTTTTTTTTTTTTTAAAGATTTTATTTATTTATTTGACAGAGAGAGACACTGTGGGAGTGGGAGGGGGAGAAGCAGGCTTCCCGCGGAGCAGGGAGCCCAATGCGGGGGCTCAATCCCAGGACCCTAGAATCATGACCTGAGCCGAAGGCAGATGCTTAATGACTGAGCCACCCGGGCACTCCCCCCCTTTTTTTAAGTCAATATAATAACTACACTGAAAGTTTGGATAACAGAAGAAAAAAATTCTTCCAGGAACCCCCAACCCAGATGCAGTGACAGGGATTATTTTTACAAAATCCCCTGTTCAGACCGTTCATGTATGGGCATGCTTTTCACATAATGACATTCGTGGTCACTTTATCCTGCTGTTTCTGTTAACTTTGGGTCATACCTAGTATTTTCCCTGTTACAACATAGTCTTCCTGTTGATCACTCTTAATGAAGAAGGCATAATGTTCCATCAGGTAGATTTACTTTGATTTCCTGAAACATTCTCTTCCCCATTACTGGATATTAAATTGTTTCTAATTTTTCACTGTTGTAAATAATGCAGTAGAGAAACCCTTATCCATAGATCTCTTTTTTAAAACATCTTGTTTGTTTGTTTGTTTGAGAGAGAGAGAAAGCAGGCATACGAGCAGGGGGGAGGGACAGAGGGAGAGGGAGAGCAGGCTTCCCACTGAGCAGGGAGCCTGATGCTCAACTGGATTCCAGGACCCCAAGATCATGACCTGAGCTGAAGGCAGATGCTTAACCGACTGAGCCACCCAGGCGCCCCACCCATAGATCTTGTATGCCATCTTATACATGGATCTGTGCCCACGTTATTTCCAAATTTAGTTGCCCAGAATGAAATTTATGGGTCAAAAGACATGAACACCTAATTTTTTTGATAAATAATATCACATTGAAACTCATCTTTAAGATTTGCTACGGGTGTTCCAGGTCTTGGGTTTCTACTTTGCCTTTTTCCTCCTGTTGCTCAAATATTCAGAAAGTAACATGTTCTACCAGGCTTTTGTGTTGCTTTAAATTGCTGTCGTTTTGCACCTGC